CCAAAAGAAGTTCCCTTAGACCAAAAACCTGCCCTCAGCTTCACTGGCCATCCCCCCAGAGAATCCCTGTTCTGTAATCAATGTGTCCTCTTTAAAAACTCCTGCTCAAAAACCCAATACAGCCATCCTTCCAGGTAGTACTTTACACTGTGGCAAAAAAAGTCTTATTGATTTTCTTTGGCTTCTCCAAACCCAATATTATACCAATGGATGGACCAGTCAAGATTTACAGTACCTGCATTTTGTGTCTGAGTTGCAATATGCATTCAAAGCATCCACAGTAATGACTCTAAAGAAGCCTATTCAGTAGCTGTTGTGTGAGTGTCATATAAAAAAGGTACTGTGGATTTTGCCCATTCCTTCCTCACCAGTCAATCAGTGTTCTCAAATCCCCCACAGTCAGAAGCAAAGAAAGTGTCATCTCATGCTGCTGTCGGAGCCCTGAGGAACTGAGATTGGCAGGTGGAGAAATAATTTGTTTTCTTCCTGAAGGAATGTACCATTCATGTATCTCCAATAGGGCAGTTTTCTCTTCTGTTTAAAAAAAATAGCCCCGCTTTATAGCGTACTTCAAAGACATTTTGGTGCGTGGCTTACAATGAAAAGCAACATGTAGTTTAGTCCTCTACAAAAATTAATCCATGCTATTTTTTTATATGCCGAGAGTAGGCTGTTGGACTTCTGAGAGCAAATGTCTGAGAGTTAGGACACGTTGGGTTTGCCTACACTCAAAACACTGCAATATCACGGCAGTGTCTCTGTAATGTTTCAGTGAAGATACTACCTACACAAATGAGAGGGGTGCTCCTATCTGCATAAGTATCCATCTCCCAAAAAGACAATTGCTAGGTAAATGGGAGAATTCTCCTGTAAACTTAGTGCTGTGTACACTGAGGGTTAGATTGGTCAAACAACGTTGCTTAGGGTGTGGATTGTTCATGCCCCTGATCAATGTAGCTGTACTGTCCTAATTTCCTGGTACAGAGCAGGCTTTAATACATGTTTGTAAGGTTCCTCCACTGACTGCAGAATTTGGTGTGCTCAGGATCAGACCATGTATAAGGTCCTGTCTACACTAAAGGGTGTTGATGTTGCTGGCCCCAAGTATTCCAATAGCATACCACACATCCACAGACACAATCGCTCCAGCTCTGAACAGGTATTGGCACTACTGTTGGAGTTGCATTTGCTCTGAGCAAGTTTAAGACCACTACTGTCCACTATCACATCGCTGCATCATGGTGGTGCCAGTGTAGACACAAGCACTGGTATAGCAGCCAGTGCAGTCCCACAATAGTTCAACCCAATGCTTCGGAGCACTGGCTCTGTTATCTGTTGACTTCATGCTGATCTATGAGTAGCTGAGGTGGTACTCAGCTAGTTTCAGTTCTTCCTGGAGTCCCAGACTCTCTGGCCAAAGCAGATCAAAGGAAAGCCAAAGCAGGACTTATCTAGACTAGGTTTAACCTAATCCCCTCGCCACCCAAACAAAAGCTACTGCCCAAGTCACAGATCAGCAAAGAAGGATATGGAAATAGAATGAAAAATAAAACTTTATTAAACAGTACCCTTTAGAAAAAAAAGAAAATGTATGTCATGCAGATTCAGCTGAATGAAAATCAAAGGTTTGTTAGCACATCCAGATACACATGCTCTGCCACAAGAGGCCACATACTGCCTCTCTAGCATTTCCTATCCTCTTGTCATGTGGTAAGAAAAGGAGAGATCGAAGGGCATTGTTTGCATCATCTGTTACATTCCAAGGCTACCTGTGCCCACTCCTTTATCCCCTGGTAAATCCACATACCTTGCCATAGTTCTTCAGCCCAGAATCTTCACCCCTAAAACTTCCAACCCAGGAGCAATGCAGCCTGATGTCTTCACTGTACTGTGTATGGAAGGGAGTGGGAATTTGAAGAGCTGCATGGGTTGTTCTCCCTCTGGGCCTGAGCTTGGATCATGCCGACCTCTTGCTCTTAGGGAAATGCTAGAGTAGAGGACAGAGTTAGCCCAGCTGCTTATCTCCCTGCTGTTTGGAGGTGACCTGGATTATTACTGTCATGCCTTGGCCTTCAGGCCCAGAACCAGACTGGCAGTAGCTCAGGGGAAACGGGTGACTGTCTCATGGCGTTTGCTGTTCTACATTGCGAAGTTTAAAGTGTAGCTCTCCTAGGTAAACTGCCTCCATGAAGGGACTAGCTAACAGTGCTGGGAGCCTCTTTACGCTGGTGCTTTACAATTCTGTAATCTGCTTCATTGGGGGGGCGGAGGGGTTCACACCCCTTAGTGAGAAAATAAAGTGGCAATTCAGACAAGCCCTGAGTGCCTGGCGGGTTATTGCCTCTGCCCTCATGGTGTGTGCCCATATGGCTCCTCCTGCAGAACCGACACATTCAAAGCATCCATTCAGAGGAGAGGGAAAATGTTAAATGGCACGAAAGCAAACCTATAGCCTATAAGCGTTATGGACCTGTGCCGGCCATAATGGGCTAGATGCCATAACTTACAGGCCTGGCATTATTTGTAGTGAACGCTGGATCTGGATATGAAGCCTTGTGAATATTCGAAAGAGAACGGCTAGTGCCATTCTTCCTTTCCCCCTGCCCTGTCTCCACTGCCTGGGTTGGGCAAGCTCTTCCTCCTGCACTGCAAGTGAATGAGGATGCCTCAGGCAAAAATATCTTGAAGTGGGAGCAGCAAGAGTTGCTGGAGCAGTAAGTTTAGGAGCAATAAGTAAGGAGTGAGTTAATGATGCGCCTTCCTGCTGTGGCTAGAGCCATTCCTCACTGCAGAAGAATAGTCCAAGTTGGGACTCTCCTAATGGTTTTCATGTTTCAAGAGAAAGATCCCATGCTGGAGTCCTTTCCCTTTGAGCGGGCACTCTCTCAGCCAGAACGCCGGGGACAAAGAATGGCCCTGTCAACTTCCTTTCCCTTGTAGCACCCCATAATAGATGCGCTTGGGGACCCAGACTCCCGTCACTCCATGGTGACACAAAACAATGTGAATCAGTGGGTTCCTCTTCTAACTGCGGTCTTCTTTGGCTACTGTTGAGCATTCCTTTGAGAGACTGAAACACCAGCAGTGTTCTGTTACCAAGCGTGTACACAGTGAACAGGTTTCAAATGTGGTTTGCTGCTTCAAATGTGCTGTACAAATCCCTAGGCGATATTACGGCGTGTATGTGCACAGAGCACTTGTAAAACCTCCATTTTCTGGCATTTCACTTTATGCCATAAAGGATTAGGCCACGTGATAGTTGCTTTGCAAATGGTAACTTATCAAACATAATATATTTATTAGGGGAACTGTATCATTTGATGTGGAAATGGCAGAACCAAAGGAGGGAACAAAGGTATAGTGAAGGAAGTCTGTGTGATCTTGGCACATTCTATAGGGGTGTTGCAGGAGATGGAGAGGAAGAATGGGTGGTAGGGAGTGAGCTGGAGTTGGACTGGTTTTGCAGAGGTGGAACAGGGACAAAGGAATTGAGAGCCAAGAAAGAGAGAGATAAAGTGGGTGACTTAATACATGAGTCAAGGGAGGAAAAAGTAGGGAAGAGGGGGCTGAGTATGGCAGAGAAATTGTGTGCTTTAATGGACTGAAAGTCATGGCAGGGCTGGGCTGGGGGCAGACAGGTGTTGTTGAAAGAGATCAAATATATGCCTGATATTCTTAACCTTCATTATTTTAAACAGTGTGATCAAGTAAAATGTGTTATTCAACAATAGTTTGCTTATGGCATTGTTCCCCTAAAGGCTCTATCTAGTTGCAGCAGCAGTTCCAGACAAAGCATGAGAACAATGTACATACTGTTTGCTATGAGCTACTAACTGGATCAGCTGAGCAGCAATAGCAAAAAGACAAAAATAAAAAAAAAAAGATCAGGATGAAATAGTTTACTGTAGGCCACAGTTTAGCACAGTGGGTCACACAAAATGTGCTGCCTTCAGTTGACCACAGGAGGTCTGCTACCCATTGATCTTGTGTCCTTCAAATGCCCTCTAGTGGTTAAAGTTCTGCATGGGAGCTGCTTTTCAAAGAATAACATGAGCACATCCGTTATTGAAGCACTTTGAATGAAGAAGCCAAGTATTCTCTGAAAACTTGTCAGAAAATTCTTTATGCATGCTAAAAGCCCCCTACTCCCTGCCTCTGATCTGTAATGTATGCAATGTACAACACAGCCGTGCGGCTTTCTGCTTCACAGAGCAGAACACAGAACCAGGAAGAGAAATGGCATTTTAGTGGCAGTGAAGGCAAAGCTGGCACCATGCTGGTTTCCCCAAGACAGGGCCTTATACAAGAAACCACAATGTAAAGGGCAATTTTCTCTTCTGAATTTTTAAAGGGAGTTTTAGCATACACGGTTCCAGTGAAGGGACTGTGCTCAGCCATTAGGCAGACATAGCCAGAGGCCCAATAATAAAGGCCATAACATGAAACCTTTTTAGGGCTGTAATATCTACAAACTGGGAAGTATTCATGAAGCCTCCTCTAACCCCATGGGATGCTATTGCTTAAGATACTAAAATGTCATCAGTGGGTAAATACAAGGGTTACATCCTGGTTGGTTGAAGGAAATTAAAATGGTGCCTAGATAAAGAAAGAATGTAAAGAAGAGGGGGATATACGTTTGGATTCTGATCCCCACGGATTATAAGAAGTCAATTGTCCTTGACATTAAAAGTAAAAATATTCCATGGGGAAATAATGACTGGAAATACTACTCTGGCTCTGATTTAAGAAAAGGACCTTCTCCCTTGTTTTGTTCCAGACAAACTATTTTTGAGTCATACATCTGAACGATCACATGTGATATTAAACTTCCTTAAGCCTCGTGCCTGAAGCATTTTGGAACAGCAAATAATTTGCTTGGCCTTATTTGTAATTTCAGGTCCACTGATGGGGGGACGGCAAAGGGGAGCAGTTGCCTCAGGTGCTCAATGATTCAAAGGAGCCTGGGGTCCCAGCTGCCGCAGCTGCTGCTATTGCTACAGTGGGGCCTGATCTGAGTTGAGGCCTAGGGGCAACTGCAATCCAAACAATGAAGAAGTCAGGCATTGTGTCCACATAAGAAGAAAATTCCCTTATCTGTGCAGTGTGTGGATGTGTAAATTACAACAGATGATGCCCTTAGCAATTATGTTCTTTGCATACAAAAGCAGGAACAACAGCTCCCAAACTGCCAATATCCATCTCAATTCTCATCAAATGACTGCGTGTCCCACGGTCACACAGCAAGGGGGCTTGAGGAAATGAGATGAAGGAATGGCATAGTAGGGCTCTTCAGTTTTAGAAACGCATCCCTTTCCTATAACAGAATGAAAAGCTACAAAATAACTAAATTCTGAATCCACCCACATTCCCAGAGTTTTGGTTTGGACCCATCTGTGGCAGGGAACCAAACACAATGGAGGTTTTCAACCCCAACAATGACAATAAAGCTCAAGGTTTAACTATTTTAATGCTCACAGCCCTGCAACTTGTTTTGAAATCTATGCCAGATCACCTTGCTTACTGGGCTTCATTTTTTTCTATTTGGTATTGCCATTAAATACATTTGATTCCTGCGTTCTGTAGATCATCACCCACATTTTCTTTGAGACCATACATCCTTTGGAAATTCTGATCTTCCTCTCCTATGATAAACTGAATCTGTGTTACCTGTGCAAATGATTAAATGCAAGATCAATTTGTTTTATTTGAACATGGTGATACAGCAAATAGAAACATGGGATTTTTGGGCAGCTTTTTGTACTACTCAATAATTAGCCCTCCTTGGACC